AAAGTTTTCCAACCCCGTAGGACTGGCAGCGGGATTTGATAAGAATGCATCAATGTACAACGATCTTGCACATTGCGGCTTTGGATTCATCGAAATTGGAACGGTAACACCGAAAGGACAGGAAGGAAACGCCAAACCACGTTTGTTCCGATTGAAACCTGACAATGCTATCATCAATCGAATGGGGTTTAATAATGATGGAGTGGAGGCTGCCATTGAAAACCTGAAAAATCGAAAGACAAATATTATTATCGGTGGAAACATTGGAAAAAACACCAACACTTCACCAGATGATTATACCGAAGATTACCTGACGTGTTTCGAAAGTCTTCACCCTTATGTCGATTACTTTGTGTTGAATGTGAGCTGCCCAAACGTTAGTAGTCATGCAAAACTGGAAGACGCCGACTATTTAAGAGAACTCATTTCTGCCGTTCAGGAATACAACGACAAACAAGAGATTCAGCGTCCAATTCTTCTTAAGATTGCACCAGACCTTAACAATATTCAACTTGATGAGATCATTGAATTGGTTGCAGACAAAAATCTTGACGGTGTGATTGCAACAAATACAACGGTAAGTAGAGAAGGACTTAAAACACCGCAAAGTGAAATCGATCGAATTGGAAATGGTGGACTTTCTGGGAAACCGTTAAAGGAAAGATCAACGGAAATCATTCGTTACCTCGCTGAAAAATCAAATAAATCGTTCCCGATTATTGGTGTGGGAGGAATCCATTCACCGGAAGATGCACTTGAAAAAATTGAAGCAGGAGCCGATTTGGTTCAGGTTTATACCGGATTCATTTATGAAGGACCAAAATTAATGAAGAGAATCAACAAAGCGATCCTAAAAGCGGCTTCAAATTCATAGAAAAATTCTAACTTTAGTTCATGCGCGATTTGAAGTTAATTGAATGCCCTCGAGATGCAATGCAGGGCCTTCACGATTTTATACCTACTGAAGTAAAAATTAGTTATCTCAACGAAGTTCTAAAATGCGGATTCCA